AGTGAAAACACGGGGAAGCTGATTCGCTCGTGTTTAATAAGCAAAAAACGCGAGATACCTGGGCGAGTATAATCTGGCCGTTCTACGTGGTCCAAATACCGGCGGACCGTCTGAAAAGAAAAACAATAATGTACAACAGGGAAACGGTCTACGCTCGCACACAGGAAACGAACGCTCGGCGCACGAGGAAGTAGAATTAGCTGTCGGACGCGGACGGCCAGTAGAATAAGCTGCCGGTTTCCATCGCTGTCGCTGATTGCATTCGGCACAGTCTCGCCTCAAGGTAAAACGCGAAGGCCGTTAGCGAATTCAACCGTTTCGGTAGATACGAAATAAGCCCACGGAATTCCATCGGAATTGTTGCCGGCCCCTCACGGAGCAATAAATAAACGATTTCCTGGCGATCGTTCGGATAACGTTAGATCTCCGCGATCATTCTCGATTGTACGCCTACCAACGTGTTATTAACGGTTCGCCGGTCGCTGGAAGAGGATGATCGATATCCGGCCGATTCCCATTACAGCCGGGCAGAAATTTTTGCATATTCTAAATACTGCTTTTAGCTTCATACGCCGGTCGAAGAGATTAGCGAAAGAATTCGTCTCGTTCGTTGCTGGAACGATTTGAAAAAAAGAAATAAAAAAGATAGAGAAAAAAAGGAAAAGAAATACGCAACCCGGCATTTTAAGTATTCTAATCGTCGATGGAAGTTTCCGATCGGACGGGCGTCCGACTCTCTGTTTCCAAGTTTCATTTCCTTGGCGTCACAGCGCGGCCCGGCCCGACCCGGCCCGGCGCGACGCGGCGTTTCCACGGACACGTGTCGCGGGGCCGTAGGGCCCGATTATGAAGGCGTCACCGTTCTCTCCAACGGTTCTACCGAACGGTCTTGTACACGCGGTTGCGATCAATTGCCGCGACCGTATTCGGAATCCGAAAGTACGGGAGAGCTGGCCCGGAACGTCCCGCGTAAAAACCTACGCGAATCATCTTCACGGCGCTGTACGCCGAATTCAGGAAATTCCACGGCTCTGCTGCTCTTGTCGTGGGACGGTCGTAAAATTGAGCGACGTCGCGTGGATGAAATTTTAATTCGAGTCTCGGCCGGCCTGTAATCGTTTCCTTAATGAACCTCGGCGCGCATAATTTCGGCCGGCGCCTTCGCGAATTAGTCCCGATCCACCGGATTGGATCTTCTGACAACCGGTTGAACGTCTGTTCAACGTCTTCGCGGTGTCTCCGGTTTAACCCTTTCGCGCCGAGCGTCGCATATATCGTCGCATCCACTCGACGACCTGTGGGTACGGGCGCCGCATACAGGGTGTCTCGAAAATGTCTCGCAATCCGGAAATGGGAGGTTCCTGAGATCATTTGAAGCAACTTTTTCCTTTGCGAAAATGTTCTCCGAGGCTTCGTTTACGAGTTATTAACGAAAAACACTGGCCAATAAGAGGCGAGCTCGACCGGCGTGTGGCGGCCCAGCCAACGAGCGCACGGAGCCCAGTTCCGCTCATTGGCTCGGCTGTCATGCGCCAAATGATCTCGCCTCTGATTGGTCACTGTTTTTCGTTAATAACTCGTAAACGAAGCCGCGGATCGCATTTTCGCTAAGGAAAAAGTTGCTTCAAATCACCTCAGGAATCCACTACTTTCGGATTACGAGACATTTTTGGGACAGTCTGTATATGCGGCATCGAAATTAAGTGTATACAGAAGACGCGGATGTATAATTTGTAGGAAAAATAATAAAAGAACGGATTCGCGGTGCAAGTGCAAAGATTGCGATTTTGGCCTTTGTATAGATCCTTGCTTTCAACTATATCGCATAGAATTATATTGTTAGTTTTTACATATTATTATCTTTTAATAATTTTCGCCTCGTTATTAATTATATTAAACATTTAATCGTTAGGCTTTGTAATTATATGAATACCTATGTTACCTATAATTTTGTAAGTCTTTTTAAATTAAAAATGCAAATACATTTGTTACATTGGAGCAACGATTGTTTCATTCGGCATTGTTATTATTTAAGACTTGGAACAACATATATACAGAAACCACGCGCACTGTGCATATTTCTGGAGCTAGTTTCCGTTCAGTGACGGTTGTACTTCGGCGGATGGAGCTGCCGTAGGGAAAGGGTTAATCGTGACCGCTGTATCTTGTGTGCCTTCGATCGGCGGCGATCGCGGTATCGATCGCGGCGAAATTCGATTTTTCTGTCGATGATCGATCAAAGATATTCCAAATAGAGGAATCTGAAACCGTGGAAGGCTCGGAAAGCCAGCGATCGTCTGCGGTGCCGACTCGGTACGCAGGCAAACCGATCGTCCTCGTACCTTTTTCTAGATTTGCTGGAACCGATTCGTAGGTAATTACGGACGGTGAGTCACGCCAGGGAGAAACTGCATGCGAAACTGTAGGCATTTCTAATCCTGTTGTCTCTCGAGATTGCTGACACCATTAGCGTAACCTTATTAATCCTGACCGTATAGGTACCCATGTGCATGCGCACCCGCAAGGCTGCTCGCAAGGACGTCGTGCGCGAGCTTGATCCGTAAATACATCTGCGAATCTTAAATAAATTCTTGAAACACGGTGATATTCTACTTCTAATGAAATTGGCCACGCTGCTCGGCGTCGACTCGAGAAACTTCAGACGATTCCGAAAAATATTTTATTTGTTTTATTTTATTCTGTTTGATTTAATTTATTTGATTTAAACCAGTTCTATTCAATTTAATTTATCTTATTCGAATCAATTCGATTTCATTCAGTTTCATTCAATTTTATTCAATTTTACTCAATTTTATTCAATTCCATTCAATTCCATTCAATTTTATTCAATTTAATTACATTTAATTCAATTTAATTCCATTTAATTCAATTTAATTTCATGTAATTCCATTTAATTCAATTTAATTCCATGTAATTCCATGTAATTCAATTTAATTCAATTTAATCCAATTTAATCCAATTCAATTCAATTTAGTTTAATTTAATTTAGTTTTATTTAAATCAATTCAATTCAATTTAGTTTAATTTAGTTTAATTCAATTCAATTTAGTTTAATTTAGTTTAATTTAATTTAGTTTAGTTTAATTCAATTCGATTTAATTTAGTTTAATTCAATTCAATTTATTTTATTCAAATAAATTCAATTTAGTTTAATTTAATTTAATTTGATTCACTTTAATTCAATTTATATGAACAGTATGTAAGCTCGTTTTGAATTTTGCAATATTACCTGCAAATACAGTCTAGTATGTCTAATCTTTTTTCATTAACAATTCAAAGTAACCTGTAATATTTCTTTGTTTATCAGCGATAGCTGGTTAAATTACACCTGAATTTTGAGAAGGCACGTGTCTCGGCAACCACGCACGCGAAACACGAAGCACGTTTTCACAGCAATATTTTCAATGGAAATCCTGAACGAGTTCGCAGGCGCGTAATAATTAATATATATTATTGGCAGGATTCGGTTGCGCAAATTCCGGCAACGTCCGCGATATAATCGATGGTGGGGAAATGGTGTTACACAATTCCGTGTAAAGAAGACACATCGTATTATACGGCCGAAATTCCGTACAGAAAGCACGGGGGCGTGCGATCACGGTTCACGCGTGTTCCTTTTTCTCTCTCCTTCTCCGGAACGAACGGCGAATATAAGTTGACGCAAACGATGAAGTATCTACCCGCGAGAAATAATTTACATGCAATTTAAAACTAGTTTAATGGTGGCCCGCTACAAGTATGCATCCGTAATCGTCCGGTATACCAGCCGGTTGACGTCAATCTGACGAATATCGAAAAGCCGTAAAATGTTAAGGCGGCGCCGTTTAGTCGGGCACACGAATCGGTTTTATGGATATACATATAAGATTAGGGATTCAAATCGCCGCTTTCGAAAGCGCGTGAAAGATGATGATGCTTCATGATCGTTCTCCTCGTCCTGTTCTCCTTGTTCAACGGCCAAGCAGACTGAGAGCAACTACCGTTCGCTTTTACTCGTCTGTTCCTTCTTGGAATGTACATTGTACATTGTGTATTAGAATATATACAGGGTGTCCCAAAAATGTCTCGCAATCCGAAAGTGGCGTGTTCCTCGGGCCATTTGAAGCAACTTTTTCCTTTACAAAAATTTTCTCCGAGGCACCGTTAACGAGTTATTAACGAAAAACAGTGGCCAATGAGAGGCGAGCTCGGCTGGCGCGAGGCGACTGAGCCAATGAGCGGAACTGGTTTTCGTGCGCTGGTTGCCTGGGCCGCCTCGCGTCAGCCGTACTCGATTCTTATTGGTCACTGTTTTTCGTTAATAACTCGTTAGCAGTGCCTCGGAGAAAATTTTTGTAAAGGAATAAGCTGCTTCAAATGATCCGAGGAACCCGCCATTTCCGGATTGCGAGACATTTTTGGGACACCCTGTATATATGTGTTGGAATATATATGTATATGTGTATCCAGAGGAAAAATATGCAAAGCATGCGAAAGAAAATGTTGTCCTCGCAGTTGTAAACTGGATCTCTAAAACAATTATCAATTAGTATTGACACTAAGCCGTGTCATACCGGTCAATATGACCGGTTTCACATTATTTTTATTTGAAGACTGTTGTAGTTGTAAAAGACATCTTACAGACGATATTCGAAGACGAATCGAATAAACGGTGAGCAATGACTGGCGCCAGACGCCGCGTATGTTGTACATCTGTCGGAATTTCTTATGGACCATAATGCGAGACTACTTTGGAAGACTGAGAACATTCTAGGAGGACGTTCAATAATTTATACGACAACCTTCCGTTAAACTTAGCTTTGTAATGAACCGCATTGAATAATGATTTTGAATCTTTTTTCGAGTCGAATCGCCGTGTTCGCCAATACAAAATGGTCCCGTAAGAAAGTAATTATTAAATAATATTCTGAAGTAATTTACAATTCCATTGTAATTTGAATGGACGATAATTAAAATTACGCAGACAAACGAATAGTCCGTACATTGTAAATATAAAAATATATTTGACGGTTTTTAAAATTGGTACAATATCAACGATCTTTAGGCTTCTATAGTAAACAAATTATTATCAACAAATTAAAATCTTTCGTAGTTCGATTCCATTTGGTATAACTTCATAGAGCAGTATGGATACAATTTATACTTCTTGTAAAAATCGCCGTGTGAATGATATTTGTTGCTTGTTCCTGACCGATGGTACAGCAGTAGCAACGTATTTTTAACAACGGCCATAAGCGTGATGCGACTGATGAGCTGTGAATTAATTTAAAGGCTTTTATAATCTCCTTCGACATGTCGGTAACATAAAATGGTAGACTGAAGCTTACGTTTATAAAAGTCTGAGAAGTTCACATTAGGTAACAAAGAATACACTTTTTTTAATATAGTTGCTCTTGATGCTGAAGCTGCGTTCATATTCCATATCTAAACAAGGGTATGATTAATTTAGTAAATATTGATGTGTACAAACTTAAATTAACTATATTACATTATTAGATGCTTAAAAAATTACTTGAACCATATCATCTTTGTCTCTGATGGACACAGTTACTCCGCAGACTTCATCATCTTCAGCCATACAGTCCGCAAACTGTTCTCCGATAGCTGCGAGAACCATTTCCTTCCAAATCTTTTCCTAAAATGATGTTCGCTACAATGTTTGTAACAACTATAAACGAAAGTTCTAATACATACAGTATCAGATTTATGGCACTTTATTCTCCATGTTCCACCGTGCTGATTAACCGGTTCCTCCCATAACGGATATCTTTCGTCTCTCATCAAATGGTAACTATATTTAACCTGGAATTAAAGCAACATGTAAACCGAAATATCAAACGTTTGAACAATTAATCTATTATTCCTTAACTTACAAATACCAAAGTATAAAATAAATTCATATACTGATTTTTTTTTCTATAAAATTATGTGTTAGATCATAGCAATGAATACTAAAGATACCATAAAAATTAACTATTAATTATGAAATATTGGACTAGTACATAATTTGTCAACTTATGAGCAATATGAAAGAAATAATCTACAAACCTGCATGGAGTTAACATTTGGTATATTATTGAAGACTGCCCAAAAACTCTGCACTGTATTCACAGTATAAATCTTCGTTAAATTTTGTTTATATTCTTCGACAGTTGTGCCAGACACAGCTCTGTTAATTTTACAAATTTTTTCATCTGTACATACACACTATGAACAAAGAATGTTGTACATTTTATGCGATTTTTTCGTTATTTACGATAACACAACGATATCCGAAGACAGATATCAGTGACGTTTTGCAAAAAGTAATACAAAGAAATAAAAACCGATAGATATGAAAGAAACAGCGCTCCAACTTCGAAATATTACGCAGCGAGATGTGGATACACGTTCTTACTTATCCAACCAGAAAGTCCACGAAGTTTGCAACGGTGTTCCCAACGATTCATGTTCCTCGATCGTTTTCACAGTTTCGTCCGAAAACACCGGCGTTTTCGACAAGTCCGCCGAACCGTCGTCTTTTGATTCGTACTCCACCACGGCCATGTTCGAAACGACGATAAACTGATAAACACACACACACGCACACATCTGTCATCATCATATGTACGTTAGAAATCATGTGATCAATGATGAACACAAGAACGATTTAACGTTGTCGAAAACATTATAGATCGTACGAAGATACATTTAGCAGTGTTCTGTGCTATTACAGATTAAGTTCGCGAATATAAATCTATCGCATAGATATCAATTTCTTTACCGGCAGAGTGAGTCATCTATCTATAATCTATAGAATAGAACGGCGCTAAGTTTGTTATATTCAAATTTTCAAATCAATGTAACTTGCATTTAAAATACTTATTTTTAAATCATACGAAATAATTGATTGAGAACGAATACGAAAAGACGGGCAATAATTGTATATTTCGTTCACTAAATTTGTAATAATATCACAAGTCAATAAAAGAAACACCACAGACTGATTATTAAATTTATATTTTTCATCATTCCCAATAGGTACGAAAATATAAATTTGTGTTTTATTATCTCTAAAATGACTACAGTTCGTTAAATCATTTAATATATGAATAAAAATCTTCTATTCGAAAAACCTCTAGCTTAATGTAACTTTTACTTAAACCATTTTACGTTGATCACGCTGGTATAACAATCTCGTTAAAGAAAAGTTAGAAAAAAAATAGTATCCAAATAATAATGATAATAAACATAATTTAATTCAAAGTAGATTGTACGATATAATTCATGACCATTTTTTGTAGTAAACATAATTTCAAATAGATATACATTTGTTCTTATAACGAGCTATATTTGTGTTACAATCTCGATCTTAAGGCATTCGCAAAAGGGACCAAAATTATGAGCTGTAGTAACTATTTAAGTTTATTACTTATGTAG